CCTAGGATTTCGCAAATCCCTCCTACTCTAACCTGACTTAACTCCAATATTAATGGTGACATGTCTAATTAATGACTTATTGAGCTGGCATGACAAATGTATTAGACGAAGTGAGGTCTCTCCACTTTCTTTTCCTTCATTTTCCTCCACTTCCTCCATCCTTATCATTCATTAATTTTTTCATTTAAAAAAATTATTTAATAAAAAAATTTGAATGATGAAGATGGGGGAAGTGAAGGGAAAGGGAGGAAAAGAAAGGGAGAGATCCCTGATCCTGTATTAGAACCCATGGCTGCTCGTATTATTCAAAAGTTATTAATAATATAACTCAGGCTTCTTATGATATATGAAAAAATATATATAATGTGATATATGAAAAAATATATTAAATGTGAAATTACATGTATATACATAGAAAAATAAGATAGTGAAAGAATCATAGAAGTAACTCTTGGAAGGGAAGAAGAGAGAGGAACGGAGCAGCAGGTCAAAAGAGTAAATGGACGTGAGAGTGACTGATGTTGATATACACACACATATATATATATACACACACACATATGCGTGTGTGTGTGACTGATGTTGATACACACTCACACACATATATATAAAATAATAAACTTAAAAAGTAAAGGAAAAGCCAAAAATAAAAGAGAAGAGGGAATGGATACGACAATAGTAGTGTTTTTAGAGTGTCCCAATCACACAAAACAATGTCAATACATATAAGATGGTAGTTTCCGTACATAAGAGGGCCCTACGGTGGGTAATATTAACATTGTAATTTAGATGCTGACATGGAATTCACAAACAAATATTTTTAATATGAATTATTGTTATTTTTAAAAATTTAACTTAATATGTCAATCTTTAAAAAATAGTTAGCATCTAAAATTATAATGTTGACATTTTAATGGAATTTTTAATATGAATTATTGTTATTTTTCAAAATTTAACTTAATATGTCAACTTTTTAAAAAATAGTTAGCATTTGAAATTATAATGTTGACATTTACTTTCAATAAAATTAATAGCATAAGAGTTAGTGGACTGAAAAATATTTTATAAAATTAAGATATTAAATCATGAGATTTGTAATTTTTGTATATTAAGAAATCTGAACATAAATCACTTTATACACTTTATTTACATTTATTATTTAAGTTAATCTCATGAAGGTTGTTTTTTATTTTATTTTTTCTAATGAAAATTATTCCATTAAAACTTATAAATTTGTAATATGCAAGAAAAAGATAGATAATTAAAATTTGGTAATAACTTAGTCACAAAACTATTTTTCAAAGAAAGTAAGCATTTTCACTGGCTTGACCTCATGCATGAACCCCTTTTCCTAATTATTGTCATGAAAGCTTATTTAAAAAAAAAAAAGCATCTAATTTCCAACTAACCAAACAATGAAATGGTTTTCATTTCCATTTCTTGAGTCATTTCTAATGGACCAAATAAGGCATCACTCCTTATTTCACCCACTGACCCAGTCTCTCTCTCTCTCTCTCTCTCTCTCTCTCTCTGTCTCTCTCTCTCTCTCTCTCTCTCTCATGATTTTTTTTGTTTTTTTAAAAAAGAGCAAGTCTCCTTCGATTGTCGACTGAATGGATTTAAAAAAAAAAATAGAGAGAGAGCGCGCACAAATGGCGGAGGTGGCGGATCCATCACAAAATCATAGCCAATCCCTAATGAAAAAATTATAGCCATCTAATTCAAGTAATTAGATCTTTTTTTTCCCAAAAAACAAGTCATCGTTTTTATTAATATCAATAAAACAAAGACACACACAGCCATTAGGATGTAGGGATTTTATTATAATTAATAAGAGATGTTAATTTCATAACTTAACTTAAAATTAGTAAGGAAAATAGCGAGGGATATTTAATCCCTCTCTAAAATATGAAAATTAGTGAGAAACTATCAATTCCTCTATAAAATAAGACAATTAACAAAAAAATAGTAAGAGACTATCAATCCCTCTCTAAAATAGGATAATTAGTGAGGAATTCTATCCCTAACTCATTACTGCAAAAAAAAAAATTAACTTTGGCAATGACTTTTTATTATATATTTAATTATTTTTATTAAAAATAAAAATTAAATTATAAATTAACTAAAATATTTATAATAAAATTATTTAATATTTTATTTATTTTAAGTTGATTTTCACTAATAAAATAATTTTTTATTAAAAATGTAATATAAAGAATAATTTAAATAAAATATAAATATTTTAACATATTAATAATTGAAAATAAAATTTAATATGTATATGTGTGTATTTTTATAATATATTATTTGATATATTTATATAGTTAAATAATATATATTTAATTTTTTATATAACGATTGCAAGTGCCTTTCAGTTTAACTGGCAACGAATGAGAGTATAAGATTTGAAAGGTATGAGGTCAAGGGTTCAAGTCTTAGCTTTGACATAAACATAATGAATATATAACATGGTAAAGAGCAAGTAACATGGCGCAAGGTGAACAATGATATGTCATGAGTTGTTACACATGTGGTGGGTGATGGGGCACGAGATGGTGGATGATAAGGCATAAGATTGTTGGTTGTTGGATCATGTATTTTGATGATTATAAAACCAAGAGAAGAGGTATTTGTTATTTATATAAATATAAATAATCATAGATGAAGACAACACCTCAAGAACATAAAAAATTAAGAGAAGATGAAGAAGTTTAGGATAAATAATTTAAATTCTCTTAAATTCAATGCTTTTGCGTATGGTTTTTCATAGAAAAAAATTTACAGAAGGAAGAGGTAGAATCACACGTGATTCTATAAGTCACTCATGAGCTTTTGCATATTAGGCACACTATTAGCAAAATCACGAGAGTGTGAAGAAGTGCTTCACGTGTGATTAAGCACTTGTATTGTATGTTACTTTGAACTTTGTCTCTGCATGCAAAACCATGCATGAAAGGCTTTATTTTTCACACAAGTTTTAACACCTGTGCTTCATTGTATTGCTGACAAAGTGCAAAATCACGCGTGAGACTGACAGTAGCCACGCATGATCTATCATTTATTAAACAATCACATTTTAATTTATTGAGTCTTAAATCTTCTTAAGTTAGGCTAAAATTGCTCATGTGTATAATCATTGATTCACAAATCTATATTTCTTGATTATGCAAAATCTTACTTGGGTTATGCTTTATTTCACGTGTGAATATATTTAAGACAAGTTCATGCATTAATGCTTGCAATTTCACGTGTGATATCACTCTAGTTTTATGCGAGTTTTGTTCACATAAAATGGCTTTAGCATTCTGCCAACCATTTCACGCGTGAGAGAGTAAAGGTTCCATATGTGATTTATCACACAAAACTAATGATAGTTCATTATGTGCAAAACCACGAGTAAGAGCAAGTGGTGCACTCGCAAGTTTTAGTATTTTTGTATGTTTGTATAATATTCATAAGTGCAAAATCACGCGAGAAAACAATGTGGTACCATGTGAATTTTAGCACCCAGAACTGAATAAATATTCTTAAGTGCTAAACCATGCGAGAGAGCAATGAGGTGTCACGCCTGATTAAGTACACATAATCGAATGATTATTTAGAAGTGCAAAACCATGCATGAGATGACAAGGTGTTTGCACGTGATCTATCACATTCAGCTTTGTGAAACTTTCTCAGTGTAAAATCACAAGTGATTATACCAGTCACTCACAAAAACATGCACCAAAGGATGGAATCACTGTTTCAACGGTCTATCAACTTTTAAAAACTGTATAAGTAATTCATTTTGAACCAGAATAGAGACTAATAATCTTTGAATGAATAAATTATCATTTGTGCATTTAAAGAGCTTTCAAATTGTGATTTTACTGATTACATTCATTCATTATTCTTGAAAAGAATTGTGAAAAGCTTTCAAAAGTTTATAAGCTTTCATTTGTATTCTCATCTACTTTTTAAGAGAGTTTTCTGTAAAAAGCTTTTATTATCTTCTCAAAAATCTTGAGAAGGAATTTTCAAGTGTTGTAATAACTTGCTGGATTATAGAAAGGTGTGTTGAGTGAATGAAGACAAAGTTAGTCTTAAGAGTTGTACTGTAGTGACATACACACATTGAAACTTGTGTTTTTAATTGAAAATCTCAAGTGTGATCTTGAAGATTGAATGTAGCCCAAATTTATAGTTGAACCAGTATAAATCTTGAATGTATCATCTTCTTCTTTCACTCTTTTCAAATTTTCAAAAGTTTTAAGTGTCACTCAATTCGCCCCTCTTTTGAGTGTCAGCCTATCCTAACATTGATGACATGTCATAAGTTGACGCACACATAGTGAGTGATGTGATATCACTATTTTTAAATATAGGAAAATTTAGCAAGGGATTAGTAAGGGAATAATCCCTCACTAAAGTTATCAAATTTTAAATGGTATTGCAAGAGATTAATTACTGAATCCCTTACTAAATTCCTAGCTAATTAATGAGAAAAATATGATCTCTTGTTAAATTTAGTGAACTTTTTTTTAGCTACGAATTTTGTAAAAGACAAAATCTTTCTCTAAAACACAATTTAACTAGAGAAAATGATATTAAATTTAATTTTTCTAGTAGTGTTTGCTTATTTAAAAATGTGATTAAAAGTGATCATCTAATCTTTTATAATAAAATTTTTAATTCTATTGATGATCTAAAATAATGGGTGAACTTAATGGAAATTATGTTAGATGAATAACAAAACTTAAAAGTATAATAGAGTAAATGTAAATTTTGATGAGTTTGGCAGCGTAGTCTAATTGCTTCCAAAATATCTAAAGAATTTGATAGTTGTGCTTTTGGAGAAACTCATGATTAAATTTCCTTCACTGTCAAATGCTGCAACTCCATTTTACATCAAGTTTAATTTTAAACTTGACGTAAATGCTCAAGTCTCATCCTATTTTTAATATTATACAAATACATATATATATATATATATATATCATGAAATTAACTTGATGTATTGAAGAAGTAAGTGCTTTCAGCCATTCGTGTGGGGGACACTTGAGAAATAAGACACCACACGTTTCCCTCTCCCTCTCTCTCCCCTCCTCTGCCTACTAAAATCCCACCCTCGCTTCTCCTGTCTTCATTCCCCTCGCTGCCTTCTCTCTCTTTCTCCCTCTGTTCTGCTAAAGTTTCCGCTGCAGGAGACGCTTCAAACCCCTCTTCACCAAACCATCTAGAACCTTCTTCTACACAACAACAGAGCAGCTCTCCGTTCTGGTCCTGAGCTTTCTATTCTGCTACCAATGGCTGAGCTACCCAGCTCAGAGACTGGTACTTCCACCAACTGCTCTTCGCCTTCATCGTCTCCTTCGTCTCCCTCGTCATTATCCAACTCTTCTTCTTCGTCGTCGTCGTGGTCGTCGTCGTCGTCTTCTTCTTCTCCTTCTCAACAGAAGAAGCTCAAGCGAGCCAGAGATGAAAGTAACAATAACAGCAAGCACCCTGTTTACAGAGGAGTACGAATGCGAACATGGGGCAAATGGGTCTCTGAAATCCGCGAACCCAGAAAGAAAAATCGGATCTGGCTCGGCACTTTCGCCACGCCGGAGATGGCTGCCCGTGCCCACGACGTCGCCGCCCTCAGCATTAAAGGAACCTCCGCCATCCTCAACTTCCCCGAGCTCGCAGCTTCCCTGCCCCGACCCGCCTCTAAATCGCCCCGAGATGTTCAGGCCGCCGCCGCCAAAGCTGCTTCCATGGAGATACTCAACATCAGTCCCATCCCCACTTCCTCCTCGTCGTCGTCCTCTGCCCCGTCTTCTTCCTCGGGCGATGTCCCCACCACCCCAGAGGAACTGGGCGAGATAGTGCAGCTCCCGTCACTGGGCTCTAGCTTCCAAGAACCCGACCCGAATAACGAGTTCGTGTTTTTCGACCCGGTAGAGGGGTGGTCCTATCCTCATCCATGGTATCACAGCCTTTATGATGATGTTGAGAACAAGTTATACTGTGGCGGGTATTTCTCTGGGGATCACAGTTCAATGCAAGAAGAAGAAACAGAGGGTTTGATTCTTTGTGGCTTTGAGGGCTCATTGTGGCAACATTAGAGTCAGTCAAAGAATTGTTTGCTTGCTTCCCCCCCCCCCCCCGCTCTCCCCCTGAATTAAAATCCTTAATGTCAGCCCTTTTTCAATTTTTCTTTGAAGGGCCCAATACGTTTCTTGTCTCTCAAGTTCCTATCTTCTTTCTTCTTCTACCACTTTACTTTACTGGTCATGTGCTTTGGATCTATCTATGAAAGTTGCAGAGCTAGTTGAGGTTGCTATTGGGAATGATCAGAGCTAAAAATATATGATTTTTGTTTGGTGGAAAGCATATATTATTACAAGTCTCTCAACATGTAGTTTCTACTTTGTGATGACAAAGAATAAAGGGTTAAAGCTAGATTCTTGTATTACCATTTTACAGCTCATATAACATTATATTGACTGATGGGTCCATAAGAATTGATCAACATGGTACAAAAATTCCAATTCTTTATCACAAGGGTTTGGCGAACTCAGGCTTGGATAATGTTTCTGTATATGTGGCAGCTCTTCAAGCAAAGTTGGAAGCTTTTTGGATATGGAGAATTGACCATAGTGCTAAGATACAGCTAGCTATATAGTGCTTTTTGGTTTTTTCTCTTTTGTTGGGTTACTGTGTTTCAGTGTAAAAAGGAAACTACATGTTTGGTTAATTATGAATTTAAATATAGAAAACAATGTACTAATGGAGTGATTTTTCATTTGGGATCCAATCATATGTTTGACTTTGAATTAATTGGTCATGTCTAATTCTAAATAGGTACTTAAAAAATGAAAAAAAGCAGAGTCAATAATTAAGGTCATATCTGATGGACCAACTCAAATCTACCTAAAAAAAATTAAAACCAATCACAAAAAATAGTAATATTTTAATATTCAGGCCAAGCCCGATTGAGTTCGGGCTTGGCTCGAATACTTGAATTAAAAAAATAATTTTTTAAAAATATATAAAATATGATGAATATTAATTAATTTTTTTAAGTTTTATATCATTTTATACTAAAATATTATATATTTAAGTGTATTACTATAGTTATACTTTAAGACTCAATTTTTTTTAAAATTTTTTTGAGTCCTATACACCATTTGTGCATAAAAAATTATTTTTATATTTTTTATAAAATAAGATAATTAATTTTAAAGTAAAAATAAAAATAAAAATAATTTTAAAAACTACATTTGGACATGTAAAAATTTTCAACTCTATTATTAGATAAATATAATAAGTAAAATAATATTCTTGAATAATTACTTAGTTATTATCCATGCTAGATTTAGTTAAAAATTCAGAATAAACTAAAGTAAAAATTTTTTGTATGTAAGGGTTAAACAATATAAAAAGTTAAAGAAAGATGATTCCAAAAAAAAATATTTTACTCATAATTAAATAATTTTTCTTATATAATATAATATTTTCTATTTTTCTTATATTCATAAAAATGAAAAGTACAATTTATTCAAGAGTTATTAAAAACTTTAAATTAATTGGTACAATAATTTTAAATCAGTAGTATAACCGTGATTGAATTGAGATCAATTTGATCATAATTAAAATAAAATAATATAATTAAATTAATGTCTTAAACAATTAAGACATTAATTTATAAATAAATAAAACATTCATGAATAAATTATATATAATACAACAAAACAGCAATAAAACTACTTAATTATAAGGTTGATAAGTTATTTTTTATTTTATTCTTTTAAAGTTAAAATAATATTTAATACTTAATAGAATTATTTAAAAATTAAAATTGGTTTAAAAAATAAAGAAAAAATATTTTTAAAAAGTTTCGGGTATTTGGGCCAGCTCGAATAAGCCTGAAAGTGTTAGAGTTGGGTTTGGTATTTGAATTTTTTAGAAGAGATAGGATACTTCAAACCCGATCTGAATAAACCCGGTTCAAATTGAGCTCAATCTGAATAAATTTGGTCCGCTTGAATTACTGGCTCTGGAAAAAAGTAAGAATGAAGATTAGATGTCTTTTTAAATAAGATTTTACGCTGTGCGAGTTTTGTTTATGAAGATTATTTAAAAACAAGTACTAGATTAGATGAGCTTTTTTCGCCTTCTATATTTATGGCAACGGGTCACTACATTTTAGCTCCAAGTTAATTAACTGTGACCAAATACAGGGTACTTCTAACCAAATAAATATTATTAAAAGCAAAACCGACCTATTGTTAAGCTGTCCGCTCATGTCGACGGAAAGACTTGCAAAAAGGAACAAACTACAATAAATTGGGCCACTCTCTTTGTTATTTACTATCCAAAATATATTTTTTTAATTAATCCTGTTTCAAAATATAAATAATTTAATACTTTTTAAAAAAAATTCAATTTATCTCTGTATTACTTAACATAGATTTTTGTGTTTATTGTGAGTTTATAACCATTTTTTTCACTTATCATATATTGAGATTAATGGTAAAGAAGGAAAATAATATGTATTTATATAAAAATAAATATTTTATTAATATGTGAATTATTGCTAAAAGCTGTTTATATTTTCAATTAGAGAAAATATATTATTTGCTTAAAAAATAACTTCACCATAACTTTTGAATCGAGTTATTTCTAATTCAACATATAAAAAATTCCATTACGAGAAAAATTATATATATACATATATATGGACACACACATTACTCTCAATTTTTAAATATGATTAATAATAACAATTAATTCCTTCATGACGTAGTGGGGTAAGAGATGTGTATGAGTTTATGACATTGGCAACTTTGTATATTTTGATCGCGGCGGGCGGTTCTATAGGTACAAGACATGTGTGCATGCATGTGACTCTCTAAAAATAATTAAAAGTAATAATAAGATCATTGAATTGACAATAAGGCAAGATGGGGGAACACACAGTGTGCGTAAAAGCTATGCATAGATCAGAATACTATAGGTTGGCCAAAAAAGAGAAAAAGACCTGAATCCTATAGGTCTCTATTGGTCTTAGGTTGGTTTCAATGAGCGTAGTCAAATGGTAGAATCAGAGCTTTTTAAGTAACGAGAGACTGAACGATTACTTTTTTTTTTTTTAATCACATCTATAAAAAATTAATAATTATACACATTGAATTGCATCTCAAACACACTTAGCAATAATTTTTTTTATTAAGATTTTAGACAAGCCACTCTTAAAGTGTGATACCTTTTTAAGTATGATATAAATTAATTTTTTATTATTCCATAATTTTTCATGTGGCTTTCCCCATGTTATATTTGATGAGTTATAAAATTATAATTTATAATATTATTAATTTACGGCTATGTTATGCCATTATATTAATATATAACTATATATTTTTTATATTTATTTTATATATATATTTAATATTATTTTTATTTAATTATTATATAATTGATTCAACTATTAGTCTGACTGATTTTATGATAAAAATTGAGAATAACTGACTTTTTTAATTTAATATTCAGTTTCACTTTTAAAACATTGTGTTTAAGGTTTGTCATGAAATTAAGAACACACACGCATCAAAGGATACATAGTTTGTGTATATGGAAGTGGCACACAAATTAAGGATCCTAAGCTTAGACTGGAAGCCTGCCCGGCATATTAAAAAATGCGTTAAGGCCTGCGCTAGATGAGATCTCACATGGATTAAAAGAATCTTTTAAACCGGTTTTTAAACTGCAAAACAATTTTTTAAAGATTAGAAGACCCTTTTTTCTTTCTCTTTTTCACACAAACATTTTTAAGAGTTTTGGACATTACATGCTAAAAGGTGGGAAAATATTTTTTTAGACAATTTTTTTGAGAGCAAAATCGTACCGCCGTCGGAGACCCCTCATTTTTTTTGGGTTATCTACTAATGTTTAATAGTTGTCAGGCTGATATACAGTGATCACAAAGCATTCTGATTCATTATGACGATCTGACGTACGTCAAAGTAGTTGAAAGTGACAGGAATTACGTTTGATTTTAACGACTAAATAAGGAAAATAAATAGGTCAAAATGCCTTACAAGGAAAAGAAACAATTGTGTGTTACAATTATTTCACGTGAGTAAATAATAAAAAAGATGATAAGTGCCCTGATAGAAATAGAAATGCATTTTTTTTTTAAAAAAATATTTTAAGAAAATATTGTCTTACCCTTCAATATAAAATACCTTGCGCTCCTTAAAAAAAAATTTAAGAAAAAAAAGGGGAAATGGTTTTTTTTTTTTGTTTTAAAGATAACTGTAAACCTAAGATTATTATATAAATCCAAAATAATTAAAAGAGGAAACTTCCCTTTGGGCTGTTGAAGGTGTAAGTATAACTCTATAGTGGTTGATGCTTGGACCCTAATAATAAACTTTTTGTTTCTAAAATAATATAAAATTTAAGTGAATAAGATTTTAGAGACTTGTTAGAATTAAAATAAATCTCACAACTCTTATAATGTTTACAAAGATGTTCAAATTTACAACATATGTAAATTAGCTTTTTATGAGATCTGAAAGTAGTATTCTTATCAACATTAAAAAAAAAAAAGCATATTCCATAAGATCAAGCTGGCTTTATGAATCGCATGAGTATCAGTAACTAATTCTTTAAATATTTTTTTTTGGGTAGAAATTCTTGAAATATATTATTCATTAACATTTAAATGCTCGTTTATAGCTTCCTCGAGTACCTTTGTTAGTCCCCATTCATTTAACTTCATAGGACTAAACATCTTTTGGTCAATCATTCTCACAAGGCTTCCGTCACCATTTTTTCAACATATATTTCTTATATTCTATTTATAAGTCATTTACAGTATTTTTATCATAATTAAAAAAATCTTAAATTTTATTAATTCTGTCTAAAAATTAAACAAATTCCAAAATTTATTACTAATAAATATATATATTTAAAAAATAAAATACTCTAGCATTTATTGATAACCTTCCTAATATTTAATAAGAGAAAAAAAGTTAAGATAGACACAATAATTATTGAAGTGACCTATAAATAGGATCAAAGTAAATATTTTTTTTTGCTCTGTAAATAGAATTAGAGGAGTACTCAAATCCTTTTAAACGATTTCTTCTAAATTTCTCCTCAAATTATGCTTGGTGACAAAAATTTAAATTTTTTTTTTAAATTATGTGAGTGGAGTCTTGGGGGCTCACTTGAGTAAGGACATGCTTCCAAACTCAATGAGCACTTACATATATATTTATAAATCATCCACTAACAGAAACCTCATATATTAACAGAATTTAATTCCATAACTTTGTGAGTTGTTGTGAGTTTTATCAACTAGACCAACCTTTCATTGGTAAAATTTGGAAGTTGTTATTTGTGCACTAAATAAGTACTCTCTCCAATCCTTTTTACAAGTTACATTGTAAAAAATTAGCCTAAGTCACTTTCTCTTGTTTTTCATAATATTTGATGTACAATTTTAAAAGTATCTTTCAGTAAATTCTAAAAAAGAAGCGCAATATTTTAATTTTTCAAGAAACTTTTTTCATACACATCAAATCATCCTTTTTTAAATTTAAGAATAAAATTAAAAAGTGATTTATTTTTAAGATAATTTTATTATTCTAACTAACTCATTATTATTCTAACTAATTAAAATTTAATGAGTTAATTAGAAGTAACTTATACTCATTTCGTTAAAAAATGTAAGGTATTTTTAATTGAATCTCACCTTCAATAAAGTAGTTACTTACTTTTTAATTAACCCTATTTTTTTATATTTAC